CTAGAAACTCCACTGGAAATCTGCATTTGAAATTATTAATCCACGCTAAAACAATMRATAGAATATTGTACCTCTACCTTGTAGACCATTGCAAACGTTCTTACGACCTTTAATATTTGAACTATACTTTTATTTACATTTGCAAAAAATCGTCAGTTGAGAACTTGATGSACCGGTGCAAACATTCCTATATAAACAAAATTGATAAAGAATTTCGAGGTATTTGATGTAGATATAGAATAAAAAGGATTTAAAATGTAGATTACTAAGTTTTGATCAATCTTGGAGAAACTTTCAGTGTCATCTACATGAATTTGAATTATAATGAACTTTGAAAGAATCACCTAAATTAAAACTACAGTCCAGTGAGTTTTCAGTTTGTGTGGGTTTGATTCATATCTAAAAAGAGTCATGACAATAGCCCCAAAGAAATCACTAAGATAATCACTTTTATTCTTACCTGTGTTTTCGCACTATCGGAGACCAAAACTCGGACCTTGTTGCGCGCGATCARCACTAGAAGAGCTATAGTAGCACACTATCCACCATTTGAAATAACTGTCGCGAAATAGGCCAGGCGCAACAAGACGGTTAAGTTATCATGTCATATATGACCCAGCACATGAACCGAGTGATCGCGATGGGTTGTCAAGGAGAAATGTTCACTGARCTAAGACATATGGAAAACAAAAAGATATTCCGAGCGTTTTTGGACGATATGAAAAAATCTAAAAAGAATTATAAGAAACTAATTGACTTGACGTTAAAGTCGGAACGTTAAGTTATGACCTGTAAGCCACCTTCGCGTCAAAAGTTTGCTTTCAGGTTCAGCTATGTACACAGAATTATTCGCATCGCTGGGCAAATTTAATCTCTCAAATTGAATATATTATAAAAGTGGATATCTTAGCGAACTCAATCTTGCATTCGTACTTTATAATAAAGTTTTTCAACTTTAAAAAGAACAGTACTCGCAAAAGACGTATTCAAAATCTTTTCAAGATCACAGCCAATTTGGGCTATTGTTCAGCTCTTGAAAGGTTTCTTTCAAGACCTTTTAATTGTTCTCCTCCTAAAAATGAACAAGATATCTAAGCAATGGAAAAATGCAGCACAACAAAAAGCAGGAAGAGGTCCTGTTGAGCCAGAATTGAATTTCTTAAATATAGCTTTGAATTGATCGACCATACATGTAAAATTCGTATTCTTCTCGAAAGTAGATAACGTTGATTTTGCGAGGAAAATTCGTCCTCTGTGGTTTTCAAACGCCAGTTTGATGCTATATATCTCCATTATCATAACACTAGCCTCAATAGCAACCATGACGTCATTACCAAAGACGTACTAGAAAGTACGCGGAGCGACAAAAGGGCCTAAATTGGTATATCGTGATGGCAACGGCTTGGACAAATACTACCCACACCCCAATTAAAAATCTCAAAACTGTCTGTAGAAATAATTTCTCAGCATTTGTGATTATACTATTTTGAATTTTGAAAGATATTTGATAGTAAAGACTCTGATTTTGGTCAGTTAGGGGGAGGGGGATGGGGTTGGGAAGGGGGCGGAGGCATCATTCATCATCACCCCCTCTTCCCATACATTGCCCCCAGGGTTTGACTAATAGCCGATTTGCATTATGGCGTCATTTACTACAACTACCAGAATGCTTTGCCAACTTTCTTTTGTAATGCAATTAGTGGCAATTGTTTTATTAATCTCCGAGGGTATTAAAATTTTGAATAACAATGAAAATGCGCAAGGCTCTCTGGTAGTTGTAGTAAAGTTACGYCATAATGCGTTAATGTTTAGCCAATTCATCTACGTAATAACCTCAAACAAAAGGCCTTTTTAGGAAGATACGTGTTTATAGCGGTACTGGGAGCAGAAAAGGAATTTCTAATAAGAAAAACTGTGGATACCTTATTAAGAACTGGAATTAAATGACGCATAACCTCACTAATTTGCTATTTAAAGTAGTTTGTGGTCGACCTCCCACAACTATGAACAGACAGGGTGCCATTTCACTWAATAAAATCCAATAATTATTAAGGCTTTTTTTAACTCGATAAGAATTTTATTGAATCGTTTMGCATAAAGAAATGAGTTTTATCATTCGGTTTATAGTTATACTTTCTACCAAACGTTTTATCAAATTAATCGATTTTTTTAAAAACGTTTCGGTTTTTGATCGCTTCGAACAAAACAGGATTGTTACTAAAATTAATCGACAAAAAAAAATCATTTATTTACTACAATAGAACGTTCTTGCTCTCTTGTAAGTCTTACTAATTCCAAGGTCTCTTTGTTTATTTGTATTCTTGTTGTTTTTTTTTTTGTACTTGCTGAAATTTTGATATCTTAGGAAACTCGGTGTATTTTCCTGGCGAATACCAGTATAGATATACTTTCATATTTGAATTCATTAGCAGTGATTACTACAGTTCATATTCGTAAAGCCTTTAATCTAGAGGTTCACAAGAAAAAAAATATAGAGCTTTAAATTACCTTTTCTTCCAGTCGACTTCTACAAATTAAGCAATTCAAATCCCTTCTGCGAAGTTAGGAACTCTGTCATCAGTGCTAGGCGAAGTAGAAAATATAAGCCAATCTGTCTCTCAGAAACGCTCTTCGTTCTATGTTTGTTGGGGTTTTTGTATCAATATCTGAGCCTGAAGAGCTTGGCTTTGCARTGTTCAAGATGAGCCTGCAGGGACAAACCACAAGTTATTCCTCGCATCAACGGAATAGCCTATCATCTTCAGATCAAATACCCAATGGTCTTATCTCAAAAAGTAATGTGTTTAGAAGAATATTAAACAAACATTAGAAGAAATAATATTAATAATCAAGGAATAACAATAAAGAAATGTCACATCCAGTACAAACTTACTTTGTCTCGCCGATTTGTCAGTGAAAACTGCTATGCAAAAATAAACTCTASTCTGCCTTAACTTGATGCCGTTTCCGTGTTATAGCTTTATATTGTCTGGCCGTACTATACATTACATATGTGCCTTAAATAGCTTTGAACAGCCTTATTCTCTCCAATTTAATATATTTTTTAATATTTAATAAGTAGTGAGAGTTAGATTGACACTTGAACTGTAAAAATGTCGCCATAATTAATATCAAGAAATCGTGGAAGRCTTTCTCATCGAAACGGGTCTTTATTGGAAGTCTTTATTGAAGTAAATAAAAAATTGCAGTACGTAATGTGAATATTTATGCATACTGTTAAGGTTTTTGGTAAAGTATACAGTTTTAATGATCCCGTTAAGAACTAYACTAGCTGGAGGCTTTTTCAGTGCGTTGCACCTGTCTCCGCGACATTGTTTACACTAAAGAACGGTTAATATCAGCTAAGACGGTGCCGCTAACAAACAAATAAAACTATAAATATATATTTATATATATCGATGATTACCTTTGAAATACAACGTACACATCAAAACAAAGAATAGGTCGTCACTGTCAAGTTTTTTCATTACAACCTTWCTTTTCATACTGTGTTTGTAATTTACTCCGCAAAGATGCTGACGTAACTGCCCATAGATTAATCGTAAAGCGTTTTTCGGTTAGAATTTGTGGCATATTTACTTTTGAGATGATTCGACTGAGCTTGTTTGCCCATGTGTGTATGTCCGATTATCTACACAGGTATATTGCTAACAGAAGTGACATTTTAATGAACCAGCTGATGAAATACATACCATGCAGTGTTGGCTATGCTAAATGAGAGTTTAGGCCTTGAAAATAGCCTGAATAGCGTCATTCATATTTCATATCTTTTTAAGCGTCCAAAAATAAAATAAGAGGCATAGTTGGACTAGTCATTTTCAACGACGTCATTCGAGTCAATGAATGTTCCCACAGGCAATGGGAATTTTATAAAATAATTTTTACAACAAAAGTATGGAATTTGAAAGAATTACAGATCTCTAAAAAATTCGWTGACGTCAGTGACGTGTGGTCTCCAGACTTCTCCGAGGGCTCCTAATTTTTGGCTCGCGTAAGAGGCCCAAAACAGGCATACTAGATTCATTTAGACCTCAAAAGCGGCACTTAATTATTTTTTTAGCAGTAAGTTTGGCAATTTTCGCCAACCTAAACTTTTTGTTTTGGAATGAAAACTTCTGAAAATCGTGAAAATCTGTCTGATTGTAATCGAACGATAAACAAAAACAAAAGAAAACTGGCCAAAGCAAAATAAAGAAAAGATCGAAAAGCATCAAGCATCCATCTCTGTATTAGTTTTCCATTCCCAAACATCTGCGTTAAACGGTAATYATCAGAACCAATTATACACAGAAAGTTAAATAAACATAAGTCTTTTTATGCTTCCTGTTGGCCTTCAGATGAAGAAGGRAAATTTAGAATTGAAATGGAACTTTTCAATTCATCCCCGTATACAAGTGGTAAATTCGTAGCTTCTTTTCTTGCCACAATTGTCCTATAGTTTGGTGGTTACGCGAAAACAATTAGTAGACCAGTCGCGTCTCGAAAAACGTTGGATTCTGCAATWGTTAATTATGCGTAAATTCGACGCAAATAGAGAATCTCCATATGTGTAAACTAATTTACAACATAGACTTGGTATATCAATAGTTATTGCGCTTAAGCCCGGTCTACACGAGCAATTTTTATGTGACAACTATATGTGGCAACTTTATGTGACGCTCGTCCACACGGSCAATTTCGATATGTGACAATTCAATTAGTTGTCACATAAAAACTAGCATGTCAGCTTTCCAGCAACTACAGTTGTAACAAAAATCGACCAATTTTGCTCATCTACACGGGCAATAAAAAATTACCACATAAAAATTGTCACATAAAAATTGCTCATGCAGGGCTTAAGAAAGCGTTGATATGGGGTCTCGCGTCAGTGTTGTGTCCCAAGTTTCCAGTCGAGATTATATGTAGATAACAGTTTCTTAATCTTGTTTTATTCGCAAAGGTATTTATACTGCACTTAGCTTGCTTAACTGACGGGGTGAAAAAAAAAGCGCACTGCACGTGCTTTCAAGTTAACCGTTGGCTTACTATAATGCCCACTCTCTCTTTTTTTGCCATGAAACTGTTCGTTTTCATATGACGTCAATAAAAGAGTGATATATGARATTTAGATCAAATAGAAACGCTAGTTATATATATATATATATATGACGGATAACTATTATGGGAAGACATTGCCAAAGTTTGGCTTCATAAACGTTTTTAGTTCCCGAGATATTTAGGCTTGAATTGTGTCACGCAATAGCAGTCACTTATCCAAGTCCGAATGAAAAATATCGATATCAATTTGATATTTAGCCTCATACAGTATCCTTGTATCCATTCTAAGTGTATTATTATAGAAAATGACCGAAAGTATTCGAAAGTATTTGTCTTCTTCTCAGACCTTTAAAGTATCATCCGTCATGTTGGAGGCTGAGCCGTCGTTTTCCAACATGKCTGCCGCTCAGTTACATTTTTTACCAAATATTACACAATATACAATCACAAATGCCGATTCAGTGCGAGACGCTGTACGAAAGCTAAACTTCGCAGATATACGTAGTTTTGAAAGCTCTAAAACAGTATCAATGTTATATTTCAGGACGTTTGTGAATAAAGCTTTTGGAATTCGAGACGAGGTAATTTTGCTTGAATTATCACGTGATTGAAAACAGGTGTTGCTTAGTTATGAAAGATTCAAATATGCGAAACGCGCAGCTCAAAAGCGTGTAGTTCGATTCATTACGATTATACATCTTGCATGACAACTACGACGTTTTGGCCGCACGGCGTTTTGGCCGCTACTTTTACGAGTCTAGCCAATATCGACTCCGTCTGATCGAGGATGCATGGCGGGAAATATAAGTCGTTTTTTTTCTTTTTCCGAGGAAAAAAAAATTATAATAGATTTGAAAATATGCTTTTAGCAAGATAGAGAACGAACTCTAAAAGAGGCACATGCTTCGGCCAGCAATAGAAACGGAGACCACAAAGGATGCGTATTGACCTTGTTTTGAAATACAAAATCATGGTGCATTGTGGTCTAGTTTCAGTACAAACAACGCCATCTTTGGCAGCATGAACAAAAGATGTTTGTACCGAATCTAGACCACAATGCAATGATATGACAATGTCACACAACATGTACACAAACATGATATATTTATAAAAAAATTCTTAGGGTTCGCTTGTCGAGTATTATAATGCTTCGTTTTCTTTAGATTCAATAATATAAATGTAGTTAAGCATATAAATTTCATATAGATGTATAGAGTACAAACACTAAAACTGTGCAACATAAATACCACTAAATACTGCTAAATTATGCTAATTCTATTGTTTTCTATTGTTTAATTAACACTATTTTGTAGTAAATAGTATTGCAAACATTTAATGTTTGTACTCTATTTGTTTGAAATTCCAGTCAAAAGTGCTTTCATGCGTGACAGCATTCCTTCGGTGCGATTCAACTTCCAACGATTCCGATAGCGAAGCATAGCTATRCCGTGAAAATTGGCATATGAATGATTTTGTGATGGCACACATTACGACCAATGAAATGTTTATTGGATGAAAAAGTTTAATTTGATTTTTAGACTGATGATGACGTCATGAACAAGCAATAAATACTTTCGATAAATTCTTACCAAGTGAAAATCAGGAGGTAGTTTTTTTAATTTTTTCTAAATTAATTTTCTCACCATTCTCTTTGTAAAGGAAAGTAAAAAAACTCATAGATATAGAAAACTGGTTTCTTGCATGCTTCTCTGGACTCTTGCCAGTTGACTAGTCTCGTCGGCAAACTAGCATATCAATTTGGGGAAGTTAGTGAAGGCGTTGCCAGTTAGTACATGTAAAATGTTGGTTCCCTTCTCTAATTTGTCTACTAGTGCAATGGAAGTACCATGTGCAGGTGTGGTGAAGGCGTTTTTTATTCGCTTCCCTCTTTTGCACTACTTGATAACCGCAGCAAAAACAAGTGCGATATGACATTGCGAAATGCTGTTGGTCTCACTGACTTCAGTGAACAGTTATGACAGATCAGGAATCAAAAATGTTCCCTAAACTAATTATTTGATCTTTCTAATGTTATAATGAATTATGATTTGATCGAATGTCACAAAAAATAAAAATGCACTTCAACTGCTGTAATTGCACATGTTATGAACAAATCATAATTTTTTCCAGGTTTTTTTTTCATTAAATTTCAGAGTACGCTTAAAAGAAAATTCTTAGTATCCTTTAAAACCTTAGTTATTAATGACAATTTTATTTTACCTTTTGCTGTTCACCTTCAGGAGTTAACCATGCAGAGAGACGCTGTTTTTTGTTTAATCGAAACTCGGCCAGTAAACTACAATTCAAGCTCCCGTGCTATAGTGTATGGTGGCTATTTTCCCATATAGAACACGTCACTACCTAATTACTTAGTACATATTAATAGAATGCGATGAAATGATAGATCGCTCAGTTTTGCCTATTTCCAAAGTAATCTTTAAAGCACTATTTTTACTATTTCATTGTATTTTCTGTTTCCGGCGATTCATACTTGAGTGGCGCCATTGATATGCGCTCTCATTTGGCGGTTTGAAATAACAAACTTTATTATCAAAAAAATAAAATTAATAAAAATAACAATGTCTACACTATGTAAAAGAAATAATTACTTATAAGATATTACTGATTTTGCTAAGGTAAAAGCCAAAAGAAGACGTAGATTTTCTTTTTATTTCTCATTTTTTCCAAAATTCTAATATATATAGAGCCTAATGACTTACTTTATAATTAGCCATCCTTTGGACTTATCTTTGTTTATAGGTCATCATAGCTGACGAGGCTCGAATTTGAAGAGATCTGCGGCATCTTCATACATTCTCATTAGGAACTCATGACCCTGTATCATTTAGACATTACACAGCTAATTAAAGTCCCAGGTTTAGTCTCCTTTATTTAATGYCGTTACCTTGGCAGTGGTTTCTTTCAGCTTCTAATGAATGATTCCACACATGACTGATCGCATCTGATTCATTTTTGTAGATGTCAGTTTGACAAAGAATTGGCACTCGAATTCGAACCASTAGCCCACCTTTATCCATGATCAATGCATGCCTTTTTTATATTACCAATTGAACACCATGGCCTTTACAGTCGACTGCATTGCAAAGATAATATTGCACTGGTTTAATTCACCTTTTACTTCCAATGGAACACCCATTTTAGCGAGAGGAAATTAAAAAACACGAAAAGATTTTTATTTGTAGAGTAAAACAAGCACGACAATGTGATGATCTACTTTTTTCTTTCMACTCAAATGAGATTAAAAGATCTATAGAAAGAAAAAATGGGAGAAAAATAGATAGAATGTAGACAAATATGTTAGCTGTAGAGCCCAATCTCAAAATATATGGTACATGTACAGGGGTAATTAACAGGGTACACCTCATTAAGCATTTTTCATATCGGTGTATATTACTTATTTGTAGCAGTTAAAACTATAAATAACTTGTCGATAAGGCATAGAAGATTCAAGATCCAGAGATATACGAGTATAATCAAACGTAAGTCCTCGGTACTGCGGTGATATCAGCAGCAATTTGTGATTGATCCTATCTCGTACACTGAGACTCCGTCGTATTGGCCAGCGCAGAAAGAATTTCTAAGGATTTTGATTGGTTCTTGCCAATAGAAACAAATGCAGTCGGAAGTGAAATTAYACCAACGAATCAATGAATCATTCACAGTGCACAAAAATKAAAGATCCATSTATTTGTCGTATTACGACAACAYCGCACTAKAAGAAAGTTGTCTGAAATTATATATGAAGCATTGAATAYCTATGAATTGAATATCAAGTTTTCATCAATAAATCATCACTTAAGAATGTTCCGTGAATTATGGATCGKAAAGAAAAAAGAATTGAAGAGAAGGGATTTTATGAACAAATAAAGGAGGTGAGAGGAAATACTGAAAGAACGAAAGGAAGGAGAGAAGGAAGGAAAGAAAGGAAGAATATATGGACACCGACTGGACACCAGGGAGTAAGGAAGGGAGAAGTCACGAGAAAAACGAGAGAATTAGAATAAATAAATAATACATCATGGATGAATGAAGAATCAAAGAACTAGATTGACGCATTCAATAATGAATGAGTTAAATGAACCGAATGAGTAATGTCCATGAATCATGAGCAATGGGTTGATTGATAAATGAGTACTGAATATTAGTTATCTAGCGGGAGAACACTTAATTTGTAGCCTCGCTCTCTTGTCCGACCCACACCATCTTGTAGATATGACTTCAAGAAGCTTTTATATACATCGATAATAATATGTTTTACCTACTTTTAGTTGTTCTATACAAAATATTGTTTTATTATTACTATTTTCACAGTTAATCCAGAGAAGCATACTTAGTTTACTATAATTCATTAAAAGTAAATCATATACAAAAAAATATAACGAAAAATTATAGTAACTCTAGAAAAGCATTCTTAGTGTGCTTCTCGTCATTACTTCAATGTAAATAAATGGTAAACTGTCATGTTTGATGTAAATTGTTTTGTGTGTCTGTCGTGAAATAAAAAAATAGTACACTAATAAACAAATAAATTATTAATCTTACCCATTATTCCTTCAGATATTATTTTGAGCCAAAACAATTGGATATCATTATAGAATTATTACAGGTGACAATGTCAAATAGGGACTCTTCGAAAACCGATCATTAACTTCTCGTGTTGATGATTTCATTACGGATATCATATCGTTCTGCTTCCTTTTCACCTGTTGTGGCGCTTTTCCGTTAGATTATATTTGATTATATAGTAATTCGGAGTACTTAAGCAATAAGAGAAAAGGTGATTACAAGATTTTTGAAAAGATAACATACTGAGATGTTGCGCACGCGAAGGAAATTCTTTTTTTGAGGTTATTGACAAGAGAGTCAATCGGCTCCCCGTAGGGATTCTTGAATCATAATCAACATATTTATAATAAATGCAAGTTAATTCATGTCTTTTGTCAATATTGTCAGGTTTTCATTAATGACTATGGAAAAACACTTTCTAAGGGGTTGACCATTTGACTTTTTGAAGGGGGGGGGTTGAGGGGGATGAAATTCTTGATAATCTTTTGCTTCGAGCTAGTGGTTGACCCACCATATTTTTTTTTCCCTTTTCGATGTTCTACAGGATATTTTTTCCTTGTGTCATTGCTCCTTGTCCCCCCCTCCCCCGCAAAAAAAAATAAAGTCAAATCGCGAGGCACTAAAGGAGGCTAAGCTTTTTAAACGCCAAGTCTGGTAGGAGTCACTATGATTGGGTTTCCTGTGTCGCAAGTTCATCGCGGGCTCATATCACGATTACGCGCCAAAAATCAAGAAATCGTCGTAGTACAGTGTTGTGTTGAGGGTTTTTGCTTAAAAATGAGTCTTTGGGTCGATAAATACCGACCTAATTCGTTGTCTAAGCTTGATTATCACAAAGATYTGGCTTCACATCTCAAAAAACTGGTAAGTCATGAAAATAATGCGAAAATTTTACATCGTTTTCTGGTGTCTGCTGCCCGTCGGCCGGTCCTGCCGGCTTCAACTGGAATGATTATGTTGGATCTCTCTGGCTATTGTTGTTGTCGTTGTAGCTAACATTGGCAGCATTTGAATGTGTTTTATTGTCATGGCTCTTTTATAAACAGGTACACAGTGGAGACTTCCCTCACCTATTGGTATATGGTCCCTCAGGKGCTGGCAAGAAAACAAGAATCATGTGCATTTTGAAGGAACTCTATGGCTCTGGTGTTGAGAAGTTGAGAATTGAACAGCATTCTTTTACAGTAAGAACTTGAGAATTAATAGTGTAATGCTAATCTGAGGCCCTTCAAGGGTTTTTGGCAACACTGTTCCTAAGTACTCCATCTTGAAAGGTAGCCGTGCCTTTGCATCGAAGCAAAACGACTGTTGAGTGTGCAATGATAGAAAACTTCTTTCACAACTAAAGATAATTATTCACAGGGTTCCTATCATTGTACACTAAACCCTCATCTCACTTCAATGCAGAGGCACGGTTACGTTACAAGATTGCACAAAGAACCTTCAACGAAACTATTCAAAGGAGTTTCTACTTCTTTCCATAACACCGAATTCTATTTTCAATTAGACACCATCTAAGAAAAAAGTGGAAATTTCTACAATTGGGAGCACATATCATATTGAAGTGAACCCTAGGTAAGTAAACGAGAGAGGAATTGAAAGCTGGAATTGAAATGGTAGGAAAATGGGAATGGAAATGGGAACACTTATGAGGAAATGAAAATTAGGGGGAAAAATGCTCAATCCATTGTTTTTTTGTTTTTGTTTTTGTTGGAGAGTGAGTACCAACAGCTTTGTTTGAAGATAACTCATTTTTCATTATTGTAGTGATGTTGGAATATATGACCGCGTCGTCATACAGGAATTGCTAAAAACAATGGCACAATCMCATCAACTTGAATCCTCACTTCAAAAGGACTTCAAAGGTAAAGATTTATGATTGCATAAAATATTTTTACTAGGAGATATTCAGACTAGTTTAGTCATAGATAAACAGCTCACAAATTGAATGAAAGGTATTGTTATTGTGAAATGTAATTTTTATTGCAAATCATAGTTTGTAGAGGGCAATGGTTAGGAAATCTTTTATTGTAGGTTTTTGTGCATTTTTCCAAACGTGACAGTGCACAATCTTTTGTTTAACTATTGTTTTAGCCATACTGCTCACATCTGAATAAACATAACAAAAAATTATTATTTTGGGTATTTCTTCGAAATGCACAAAACTTTTTAACCAATGTTGAAATATTTCATTTCATAATCTCATAGCGAGTGTTTATATTTCACTCATTTTGCAATTTCCATTGTCCGTAAGAAAAAAGTTGTGCATGGTTTTGACTGATTCAACCTCAAAATACGTACAAAAGAAGTACAAAAGAAGTACAACAAAAGGTTTCCAAACCATTCCCTATATTATTAATGAAATGTTCCTAAAATAGTGTTTGACACCCACATACCTCTACACAAACATTT